TGGCCACTGTCAGAAGACAGGATACTGGGCTAGACGGACCTTTGGTCTGATGCTGTATGGCCATTCTTATGTTCTTATATTCTTATGTTCTATTCACAGTAAGCCTTAGCTCCGGCACTGTCAAGTCCCACAGAGTCTCTGGTGGAGATGCACCCCAGGTAAGGAGATGGAAACTGGTTCCACACATCTCAAGATCTGGGACCTTTGACAACACTGTTCTGAATAGTACAAAGCAAGGAGGGCTCTCTAGCTCTGTACTCATAGGTCCATCTATGGAAAGACAATTCCTCCTTGGATAACATCCTGTGACACTAAATAACCTGGGCAAGTTTAGTGATGAGCACACAGTAGGAGGGCTGAGGGGGAAAAAAAGAACCAAGAAAGCTGGGGATCACCCTGACGAACTGCCGAGGAAATACACACGTTTCAGTGACCAGCACAAAGGACCTCCAGCAAAAGAAGCGTGCTTTATTTGAGAAACGAACATGCCCCCAGAAGACACTTCTACCCTCAGTATGGATAATCGAGTCCACAAGTGTGCATCTCAGCCGCAAGAACACCGCTTGCTTGCAAAACTAAGTGCATGGGGCTTAGGGGTCCAGGAGGCAAAGTATCATGCAAGATGTTTGGTGTGTCTCTACAACGAAGTCAGGGAGAAGAAAAGTGAGCAAAGCAGCACAGAGAAGATGTTGCACGGGATTGCCTTTGCTGAACTGACAGCATGCACTGAAGAGACAAGACTGAATGAAGCTATGACTCTAGTCTTTAAACTACCAGACCTCCCATGGCACTATAGCGCTAGACTAGAACAGCTGTGGGTGGCTGGCTGGGAGCATTCACAGCACTGACCTAAAATCCTGTATCCTCTCACATATTCCAGGTGTCCAAGCACACAAAGGACATGATGTGCTCCTTGCCTTCAACAAGGATATCAGACACGCCCTCTGAAAAGCATGTGAGGAAGACTCTGACAACAGCAAAAATTATTTGAAGGAACATGTTTCAAATGAAACACAGTTTACTGGATCGTTTGACCCATGATGCCAAACAAGATCTGCACCTGAGTCACTATTGGCACTGATCTCCATGACATTGGATGGTCCAAACATCAAAACTCAGAACAAATTTCCATCCATCCAACTACACTTACGTTGGCACACCTGTTGCTGTAGAACAGCAATATCCATCGCCGTGAAGTACCACGACACAGCTTGAGAAAGATCTTTACCAATCGACATTGGTTTGACTTTTCACGTACAGGCACGAAAAAACGAGTTAGCGGCTACCGTCTTTAAATGTGGATTGTCCATCGCCTAAGACAGAGTGTTGGCCATCTGTCCCAGCATGGCAAACAGTGCATGCCAACACTACGAGGATGAGAAATGTTGTCTGTCTTCTAAAGATTTGTGGTGGTCTGTTCACTACTGTGGACGACATAGACCACAATCCCAGCTCCACCATAGCAACAAACTCCTTGCACAGAATGGGGATATCAGTTTTTCAGCACCCCAGTACTCCTAGAGGGAGTTGTCAGGGATTCCCAGCCTAGACCGTGAGACTGCAGCATCAGTGAAGAAGACTATATCATCACCTCCTGAGTCTTACACAATTGTCCCTCCCTGTGCAGAGAAACCCACAGGGAGAGGATCAGCCCAAGAGGGGCGGAAGAGCGGTTGGTTCAGCAGAGGAAAGAGAAGCTAGGATGCTCTAGGGAGAAGCCAGAAGCCTGCGAACCAAAGGGAGGTTGTGTTAAACCCATGCTGTGGGGAAGCTGCACAAGGGGGCTTGGAGTTAGGAAGCAGGCCAGGGAAACAGCAGCATACCAGAAGAAGCAGCCCTAACTGGAGCTGGAACCCATAGTAGAGGGTAGGCCTGAGTTCCCCTAACAGCCCTGAGGAAGGGGCGTACGAGCCCAACGGAAGGAATATTTAGCCTAGGGTGTGGCTGAAGACTGACCCCAAAGGACGGGACAAGGAATAACCCATAAGCAGGTCAAAAGCTCTTTTGTGTAGGGATATTTAGTGAACATTCAAATTGGACCTTTTTGTTAATCCGGAAGGGGACTGAACTTTTGGGGACTTGGCTGGACGGCTGAGCCATGGAAGACCTGGTGAGAGGCAGACAGCCTGCAGGAGGCACCAGAGACAGGGGCCCCTTGCAGAATCACCCCCTGACACACGGGGGGCACTGGGGGTTGTGAGGACACTACCTTACAGTGCCACAGTGTAGGAAAGATGTGGACAAACTGGAGAGAGTCCAGAGAAGAGCAACAGAAATGATTAAAGTTTTCGAAAACTTGATCTATGAGGAAAGGCTAAAAAAAATGGGCAAGTTTAGTCTTGAGAAAAGAAGACTGAGGGGGGACCTGATAGTCTTCAAATATGTCAAAGGAGTTATAAAGAAAACTGTGAGTAATTGTTCTCCATGTCCATGACAAGAAGTAATGGACTTAATCTGCCACAAGGGAGATTTAGATTAGATATTAGGGAAAACTTTCTACCTCTAAGCGAGGTTGTGGAATTCCCATCATTGGAGATTTTTAAGAACAGGTTGGACAAACAGCTATCAGGGATGGTCTAGGTTTATTTGATCCTGCCTCATCGCCAGGGAACTGGACTAGATGACCTCCCAAGGTCCCTTCCAGTCCGACATTTCTATGATTCTATGAAAATCCTTAAGCTCTCTGCTGCTCTGGGGCCTTTAGCTCTCCCTGTCTCCGTTTTCAGCTTGTATCTTCTTCTCCCACCCGCTGTCTGTATAGATCAGTGGCTCTTTTCCATAATGCGACTTTCCCAAGTTTCCCCTCCCATTTACCCTGGAACACCCTCCCCCATCCTTCCGTTACCAATATAGGAAGGAAAGGCAGTCATAACCCACGGACACCTGCTCATGACTCCCAACCTGAGAGCATATGATTCAGGGAGTGTCTCTTACTGTCTGTATATGCCACACCTAGCACACTGGGCCCCGCTGTTGGCTGCAGCCTCTATGGGCTACTGTAATCCAAATAATAATATCATGGATTGTCCTTTAATGTACCAGTGACTCTTGCCAAAGATCTGTATCTAGAGTGACCAGACGGCCCAACATTATCAGGACCTTCCCAGCATTAGGGGCTTTGTCTTATATATGCCACTATGTCCCGCCTCTGAAAGAAAGTGTCCCGATTTTTCACACTTGCTATCTGATCACCCTAGGGGTAGCCCCAATACACAAGCCATCCCCACTGTTCTAGCTTTAGTGCCAAAGGTTGATATTTAAGAGAGCAGGAAAGGAACTAAATCTCTGAGTGGGATAGACAACCCGGTGACCCAAAAATCTGGGGGAAGCCATTTCGAATAAATGAAAACAGAAACATTCCATGAAACAGTCTAGCTTTCAAGAAAGATGACTAAGCCTGTCCAAAGTGAAATGAAATACAACAACAATTTGCTATGAACAGTCAGAGAAAAACACAAGCAATAATGAATGTAAATCAATATTTAGAGCTAAAGGATTTTTGTTTCTCTCCACTTAGTTTTAGTACCATAATATCATAACAAATCCTAAACCACTGGAAACTTAAAGGAGACAGTAGGGCTAGAAGGGAGATCTTCCTGCTCAGAAAGAACAGGCCCTGCTACTTGAGCTAAGGAAAATCTTCATTAATTGCTTGCAGTATAGGGCATATGAAACACAACCGACTATTTCTGATTCTGTCTAGCAGGGGACGGTGCTTCGCACTTGTATGATTATGTCTTTTTAAATAATATTTAGCAAGTAACTGATCGTTTCTCAGACGAGGCAAGTATTATTGTCCTTTAGTAAAGATGGGGAACCGGAGGTAAAGAGACGTGTCTAGAGCTGAGAGCCAGGAACTCCAGAGCTGTAATCCCATCATATCTTTGTCCTCCAGAACAATCTATTGTGCGTGATCTCAAATGGTTTGAAGGAGATTACAGTGCTTAGGAGACATTGAGCACTTTGCTTTATGGCTGCACACGAAGCAATCTGCAAATGCAGCCTCTCTCTTGGATAAAGTTATAAATTACCCCAAAAGAGTGTGTGGGGGGGTGGGGTTTATAGATATACACAGCACAGAATTTGTTAAGTGCTGGAAAGAAAGAGGTAGGTCATTTTTCTATCAGTCTGGGGAGGGGAGGAATGGGATCCAAAACACAGCATGAATTATTTCAGTGTTTTAAAAACAGGAGGATTTGAAACCCATCCCCAGGCCAAGCTGGAAGGCTGGAGGTTTGGTTATTTATTTATTTTGTTTTGCAAATGGAACTGAACGCAAGGCAGAAAAAGCCACTGTGCTGATTAATGAGGTGGGATCCTTTCCCCTCCGTTCCATACATTATGTCAGCAGAACACTCCTTCCAAGCCCTGATAATGAGAGATTGGGCTGCCTGGATCCCTGTAAACTACCCTGCATCTTTAACCAATTACACTTGAACATACTTTCACTACTGCTCAATGCGGGCGGGGGGGGGGAGCTGCCTTTCTCTTCAAGGCAGCAGCAGCGCTTTCCATCCCTGGATGGCCTTCCACGTGAGGATCTCAAAGCACGCTGGAAATCAATGAAACCTCACCGCCTACCCCGCGAGGCTGGGATTAGTATAATCGCCACCCCCATTCTACACATTGGGGAAACCGAGGCACAGAAAAGGTATCTGACTCGACACACAGCAGAATCCAGACAGACAGACCCTGGAAATCCCCCACCATCCCTATCCCTGGGGCAGCCTCATTGGCGCTAGCAATGGAGATATGGGTATAGCAGGCCAGGTGCCCGCAGCATAGCTACCAGGACATGGACCCCTGCTCTGAAATGACGAGGTGTGGCTCAAATAACAAGGGCGTGCCCACGCTAGGGCTATGGGGGGAGTTGTGCCGACGGCAGGGCAGTGGTGGGAAATGAGTAAGTAAAATGCCAGCATAGCCACGGCATGGGGGCTGGTTCTAATAGCTGTCTGGGGGGCCTGGCAGTGTTTCTCCAGCCCCTGCCGACATCGTACCGGGAAGGCGTAGATGAAAATCCCGATGAAGAGCAGCAGGATGAAGACCACGACGGCGATGAGAAAGACCCACTTGAAGCGCCGCCACAGGATGTACTTCATGGTTTTGTAGGGGGAGGTGAACCACAGGAAGGAGGTTTCCGGGCGCCTGCAACCAGGACCGTCAGGGTTAGCTCTGAGATGGCTGCACGGGATGGTCCCCTCAGCCTTTAGCGACTGCTGAGCGCGACAGGCATCTCCAAGGGCGATTGCGCCCAGTCGGACCCCCAGCCGCCCCGCAGAACACGCCTGCTGAACCCCCCCCCCACAGACATCCTGGGTGCATCCAGGCAGAACATGCCAGCTGAGCTCCCGCTAGATATGTACTGACCAGATATACCCATGGTACCATCTGAACCCTCTTGGATACCATGAGTACATCTGGGCAATACGTGCCATCTAAGCCCCCTTAGATACCATGGGGTACATCCTGGCACTACATCCCATCTGAACCCCCTGGGATACCATGAGTACATCTGGGCAATATGTGCCATCTAAGCCCCCTTAGATACCATGGGGTACATCCTGGCACTACATCCCATCTGAATCCCCTTGGATACTATGGGTACATCCTGGCACTACATCCCACCTGAACCCCCTGGGATACCATGAGTACATCTGGGCAATACGTGCCATCTGAGCCCACCTTGGATACCATGGGGTAAAGGCAGGAAGTACATGTCATCTGAGCCAACCTTGGATACCCCGGGGTACAGGCGGGCAGTACGTGACATCTGAGCCCACCTTGGATACTACAGGGTAAGGCGGGCAGTACGTGACATCTGAGTGCACACACACACCGATGGCAGTGAGCTCTAATGCCCCATTGTAAGTGTTTGCTGGATTGGGCCTCTGTAGATTGTGACCTCTTGGCCCACGGGGCCTGTCTTTCCAACTTGCTTCTAACGTGTCCCGGGTCCCTATGGTTGGTTTAGAATCAAGCAGCGCTTACTTGGGGTCTTCCAGCTTCGGGTTCATGTTTGGCTCATCGCGGCCCGTCCCTGCCGGCCTTTCTTCCTGCTCCTGCTCGGTCACAATCTCCAAGGTCATTTCCAACTTACCCTGCATGGGAAAAGAGACAGGAAATAGAGTAACTGGCTTTGTGGAGCGAAACACTGACTTGGGAAAGGAAAATTGCTTCAGGGCTTCAGCCAATGGCTAACTCTTAGGGATCAGGGTGATTATTGCACATCTGCTACTGCTGGATTCGGGTCCTGGCCACAGGACGCTGGACTAAATGGACCGTGGGTCTGATCCAGTCTGGCAATTGTTGTGTTCCTCTGTTTCAAATTAGAACTCTGTGGGAGGAGGCTGAGTTAGATTCACCCATATTTTCTTAAGCCAAGAACATACATATCCCTTCCGTCTATTCTTCCGTGAAAGGGCTAGCAAATGAGTGGCCAGGCTGCAGTGTCTGAGGAAACGACGAATATTGAGCCACTAATGGAGAATATTTGCAAAAAGTGACTTTTCAATATGTAATCACGCGCGTTCACTGGGTTCTACGTGCTCATCCAGGACGGGAACAGACCACGTGACCTCAACGACCAGTTAGAACAATTCAGTTTTCCAGCTATCAACCTCTCATTCAGGGACCATCATTTTGCTCCGTTTCTACTGTGCCTAGCACCATGGGGCCCTGGTCGACGACTGAGGCTCTTAGGGTGCACAGATGAATGATCATGAGAAACTGGAGAATACAAAACAGGGCAACGTTCACGACAACAAATGATTTGTTCTGAATGATTTGTCCAGTGCTGTGACAAAAGCTGGAAAACCCTTAGGAGAGGAAGGATGGACCAGGGTTTAGGGCACTAGTCTAGACTGTAGGTCAATTCCCTGCTCTGCCACAGATTTCCTTTGTGACCTTGGGCAAGTCACTTAGTCTCTCTGAGCCTCAGTTCCCCACCTGTACAATGGAGATAAAAGCACAGATGATGCCAAGTGAGCCAAAGGGACTTACTGCTATGGTCTTCTTCTCTTCTGCCTCCACAACACAGGGCCACCAGCCCTTGACAGCTTTCTGCTCAAAGAGCGACACAAATCGGTCAGAGGACAAGGTCTCATCCAGGAGGTTTAAGGAGCACTTCTCAGCCGTCTTGGCGGGTGCTGGCATCCGGTTGAGGTCCATCTGAACAGAACCTGCAAGGAGCAACGCTAGCATTTACAGGTTGAGCATGAATCACATTCCCCAGGAT